GATCCCCAAATATGTGATAGTGATTCAAAGAACATGTTGTTTATTCATTTTTTTGAGCTAGTTTTATCCTTGAATCAGGCCAGAATATCAGAAAGCTGTACATCCCAGCACCTTGCCCCCTTCATCTGCCCGTCATCCTCTTTCACCCTTCTGCTGTGGACTTGTTTGAGCTGAAATCCATTTTTAAGTAATTCTTGACTTTCCTAAGGAGACGCTACATCATACAGCCTTGTGAAAAACATATTTGTTAGAGAAACGCTGTTGAAGGCATGGTCTACTGCCCTTCTCAGGGCTCATTGTGTAACGAGGAGGACAAAGGCCTCAACTATGGCTGCTTTTTAAAAAAATCTGAAGAAATACAGCAAAATGCCAAAATGTGTAATGTTTGGATGTGGGTACATAGGTGTATGTTTTGTTATTCTCTGTGCTTTTGCACATTTTTGAACTATTTTATTATAATAATAATAACAATAATAGTAATAATAACATCACTCAATTTCTTACCAGCCAGAGGTATCCACTTTCAAAATTTTGTGACCATCCTCCCAGACATCCCTCTATTGAGCAGTGGTTACCAGCATGCGTAATCTTTGAAGTGCAATAGCCCCAGCTTCATCGATGCTCTTGCTACCTACTGCGTTCTGACTTTGGGTGAGTGATGTCACCCCTTCTGAGCCTTAGTTTCCACATCTCTAAAATGGGGATCACAATGGTACATACCTGATAAGGTTCTGGTGAGGACTAAATGAGAGAGCATGTGTAACGTGCTTAGCACAGAGCCTAGAACATGGTAATCATCAATAAATGTGAGCTATTATTGTGTATGTGATGTTGCCTCCATGGACCATGCTATGGGCAGCTTTCTATGCCAGTAAATATAATCCACGGTATAAAAAAATAAAAAGAATGATAGAGTAAGAAAAATTTTAATTCTCTAGAGGAACTGGTGTATTTTTATTCCTTTGGGTTGTGTACTTCCGGCCACCAAGAAGTTCGGGCCAAATTTATGCACATGGGAGAGACCTTATGACCTGGATACTTATGATCTATTTTCCCTTGTCTTGGGGCCCTACTTTTTGTGACTTACTTTAATTCTCAATTTCATTTTATGTACTGCCTGTGAACCACCTTAGATCCCTGGTGCAGCGGGGTTGGGATGAGAGGGAAGGGAAGAAGGAGGAAGGAAAAAGTCACGGACGGTGAGAAGGAAAGAAGACAGGATTTTTAACACAAGACTTTGGAGTTATTCATCGTAGTGTTCAGTTCTTGGATTCATGCTAGTGGGCATGATTTTTCATCGCATTCAGTACTTTTTCAGTTGCTCTCCACCCACCTGGGCTTTGTTTCACATTTTGACTGGCATGAAGCCTTTAGCTATTATCCCCGGTGCCACTGTGAATTTTCACACATGATGCCACCTGAGGGTTGTCACACGTTCTGGTTCACTCTGGTGTCTGATGATTCCTGGAGTCAGCTCTTCATTATCTATGTTGAGATTGGGCACTTTGTTTTTTGTCAGCAAATGTTTCATCCAAGGTCAATTTCCCTCAAGTGCTCAGCACCATTTCAAACGGTGTGTGCTCAGGGAATGCAAATTAATTTAATGTTAGCTTTAGCCAAACCCGGCTAGGAAAGCAAACCTACTTTTAAAAACACTGTAAACACTGATAAACATCATCTAAATGATGTGATGTTTGAACATGTACAAATGTATAATAAAATTTCACCTTAATTCCAAAGGCATCATTCCATAGCACTTTTAAATTCATCTTTGAATTAGCCTTATTTTTGTTCTTTGATGAGAAGTAAATTTTAATTTGAAATTATTTAAATACCTGTGTCATTATATTTTATTATAACTGGGGGCTATCAGAATAGATTGGGAATATATATATATGTGTATGTTTCATATTTTTTGTTTGATTATAAAAATGCAACACGCTTATAATAGAAAATGAAAAAGTACAGAAAACTCTAGAGGAAATTAAACCATTTATAATCCCGTCACACAGAAATAATCACGATTAACATTTTATTATATCTCTCCCCACACATTGAGGTTATAGAAGTTCTCAAGATGGATTTGTAGATTGCTTCCAAAAAAAAAATTAGTGTTTTTTGGAGTCCTAAAGGTACCCTTGGAATTACTTCCAGCTCTGCAAGTCCTCTCTGCCTGAAAGACAGCAGGGCAAGGAGTCTGTCTGACCACTTTTCCATACGGAGGAGCCATATCTTTTCTTCATCTACCACCTCTACCTCCATGTTCCATCCGGGCTGGACTGGAGAAGCTGGGCTGAGAAAGACCAGAGCACCCCAGACCATGAAGTCTTCCCTAACTGAATTCAAGTGGGTCTGGCCTTCTATACACATCCAGAAATCTCAGGGCAATTGCATCGCATTGTATGACAGAAGGAGGAGTGGGGGCAGGGCTTTCCAACACCCTGGGTACAAATCCCATGGCAGAATTCATTCCCTGCCTTTTAGAGGGCTTCCCCTTTTGTTTTTCCCTTACCTCAAAGCATTGCCCAACCAATGTTTTTATACCCATCATGTTTCCTTTTTCTGGAACTGTGTTCCTGTTCTCTTGGAGGATTCTCCCCAATTTCCCACTCTAATCATGAGATTTAATTAGGGGCTATCAGTCATTGTTTCCCCCTCCTCCCAACAGGGTGGGCGCGGGACCCAAGCCAGGCCAATCAGAGACCTTCCCCCAGATTTTAAAATAAGAACCAAAAAGCAAGGACCTTGCTTCTGGTAGCAAAACTGGGAAGATGTAAGCCCAGTCCTCCAGTGTCTGTGTTCCATGATATGTGCAAGATGGAGCCTGTAGTGAGAGGTATTAATCCAGTCCTCAGAAAGAGGTGGACAAACAGAGGTGATAGAGGGAGGGAGGGAGGGAGGGAGGAGGGAAGGGGGAGAAAAAGAAAGAAGGAGAGAGTGAGAGAGAGGAAAGAGAGCTCAGAGGGTTTCTAGTCTTTATTTTAATTCTCTAGGTTCCCTGGATTCTCTTCCAAAATTTTGGCTTTTTCCTTTCTTAGATTCCCTGACCTACCCCAGGAATTTTTCCTACAAATGAATTCTGAATTGGTTTTCTGTCATTTGCAACCAAAAGAACCCTCAGCAATAGAACCAGACTCTCCCCCAACCCTCTCTCAGCCCCCTGGATTCTCTGCAGTTCTCTGGCTCTTCTGCTATCTGGGTTTCTCTGGTTTTCTGTGCCTCAAAAGCCCCAAGTTCTTAAAATAGTCCACCTCTCCCTTTCTGGAGGGCAATCTCTAATTCACAGTGGCAGATAACAGCTCTGATTAAGCTGATATTTGTTCTTAAAGAGTTGCTGATTAGTTCCAAAGAATCCCCAGTTGGTGGAATGTGCCAGAAGAGAGGCCTTCTTAACCTACCCTTACTCCAGACTCTCATTTTGGGAAATATACCCAGAAATGGAATTATTTAGCCTATTACCTCTACTCTCCCCTCGCATTCACCCCATCCTCATGTTTGCTTGTGGTTCCACAACCCACAGGGCTCAGTCCTAACAAACAGGCATTTTCTAGAAGAGAGTGAGGGTTAACCCTGCAAGATTCTATGGCTGTAGTGGGTCTCCTCTATTATACTGTCCTTAAAGCTGATTGTTGGGCTCTTTTTAACTTTTAACATTATTTTGCAATAGTGAAATGGTAAGATAAGTCACTTATTTTAAAAGAGGCGACAGATGGCCTGGTTTAAAACAAGAGAATGTCTCTCATCAAAAGCCAATAAACACAGTGTTGATAAAATGGTATAAACTATCCTTATCCTGTAATGGTATAAACCATACTAATTCTGGACTTGCTGGCTTTTCTGAATAAACCTTGAGTTATGGCTAAAGATGGGCTTGGTCTACTCAATAAATAATTTACAGCGCCTAATATGTGCCAGACATTGCACTAGGCTCAGGGACTCTGCCCGTCACTATAAGATAAACTTATTTACACCACATTTGATTGATTGCACAATAAGCTGTAACTGCACGTTGTCATTTTCCTCGGAAAGACCTCGCCTTAAAATACCTCTAGCATTAACTGCTAAAGGCCAAGCGTAAACTCCATACCAAGTTATGAATTTGACATCCGCCAGTGCTCAAAAAGAGACAGGGCTTCTGCCTTTTCTTTGCAACCTGAACTTTCCACAGCAACCAGCCGAATCTGAATGAGGCTTGAGAGGCTGCTGAACCCCTGCCAAATGGCACTCTACTCTACTGACAAAACAGCATCCGCCTGCTGCTCTTTCTCCTGACAGGTATCTATTTGGAACTGCTTCTAGAGAATGCAGTGACAGTTCCCATCCTTGATCTTTTGGCTTAGTTCCCAGGGAGACCTCCTCATGTTATGTTTTATTCATGGTGTCTCCAAGGGTTGGTTTCTTCATTGTAAAAATCAGTGGTGGGGGTAGGGACAATCAATGAACCTGAAATAAAATTTGAGTGTCATAATAAAACCATCGTTTTGTATGCTGAGAGCCTACAACCAGAGTCTGAGATTCTGGGAAGGTCTGTGTTTTGAGGATTTTTAAGGCAAAGCATCCACAGAGACAAAAAATATAGTTATTCATGTTGTGTTGGAGTGTGGAAGAAATAGGTCAGATAAACCAAAATAACCTTTGCTGGGAAACACAATAAGCTTCAGATATCTGAGACCATGGAGAAAAAAGATGGCGCAGTGGATAAAACAGTAGACTGATAGCAGTGTCGGCCTAAAAGAAGGAAAGCTACAAAGAATACACAGAGTAAATGTTTATTCTACCTGATCCCTAAGAAATTTTGTCACCATCAACTTCCTCATTGCCTTTCCTGTAAGAACTATATGTCTTTCTATTTCATTTGTCAGAAATCTGTAGGAGAAAGCATCTCTCTCACCTGCTCCACCTCCCAAAACAAAACCAAACAAAACCAATGGCCAAGTATTATAGAGGACAGAGATTACAATACTATATCATATACAATTGACATGTACACATATGTATACCTTGAGAATTATGGTCTTCTCGCGCCGGGTGATGTTAACACTGTGGGGTTGTCCATTGGCCATGTTCCTGTGGTCTACATCAATATTATATGGCTCTCTGGTGCCACCCAGGTTGTACCGAATCTGTAAGTTTCCTATACAAGGAAAAGGAAAGAAACTCAGAATTTCTTTGCTCTAGGTTTCATTTTAATGTCACTTCCCCACCCGTTGACGCTTAGGTTTCCATTAAACTCTGCTCCCTCCTTTGATGTGCATTAATACCATTGCCGTTCTGAATTCTGATTCACTGGCTTGGAGGTGCACTAATCCAGAAGGTTGGACTGCACCAGGCACACACGTATTTACAGTCTACCAACAACGAGCCATCAGTGACCGTCATCTCAAAGTGGAAGCAGCACATGTTATAAATGACCCAAGTTGAGACTGTGCCTGGGAAGGAAGAATGAGAACATATACAATATAGGACTGTGGAGATGCCTGCAGGCCCCACAAAATACTATCTGAAATAAAAAATAAATGCAGGATGCAGGGTTGGTCTCATGTCATCAGTAAAGTGTGCCATTCGGCGTATAAAAGAGTCATGAGCTTACAATATTAAAAATAAACATAATTTACGAAAGATAAATACATGGGATTTTGGGTGGCTTCACTGAGACCACAAAAACAAAGCAATAAATTTTATTCTAGGTTAGAGCCTGCATCAACCCAAATGCAAATCAAAGGAAGAGATGGGCTCCCAGGGCCTTGAGTCCTCGCTGCCTCTCAGTCATAGTTCACTTCGCCTCAACAACTTATTTTTTTTCTCCTTGTTTCTTCCCAATAATGACAAACAACATTCAAAAAGACTAATATAGTATTCTAGATCCTGCTTTTAATTAATCCGCACAGCAAACATAATTTCTATTTCTAATTTATGATTTTTAAAGACATCAATTTTTTATCCCATTTTTTACCCAAACTGGACTCTTCATGTTAATAGCTTTTGACATCTCAGAGCATAAACATGGAACCAGCAATCTAGCAAGAGTTTGACCAGTTGTAAATCACCTCATAGATTCTTTGTTGCCTCTTTCATTTTCCTTCTAGAGGAACAAAAATGATATTCTGATTTTTAAGCTGTGAAATAAAACGTGATAATTAAAACTTAGAAAGTAAACAGAAAGAAAAAAATAAAAGAGAGTCACTGGAAACCCCACCAGCCAGAGATAATGACTCCAAATACGTGACAATATCTCTTTGCAGATATTTGTCATGCCCTTATACATACAGAAATAAACGCAATAGTTTCTAAATGCTGCCCTTCCTTATTTAGGCATTCTAGCATTACATATGCCATTTAAAATATTGTATTATGCTCCTGGAATTGAAAGAAACATTCATTAGAACAATCAAGAATTAATTGCATTTCCTACTTTTGCTTTTTGAACAAATTCGACAAACCTGTACTATTTCTGAGTTTTACCTTAATATTTTATCCTAGATTCCTTTGCTTATGACATTTCAACCAAGCGTTGTTGATTTTCATCTTCTAAATGTGTCTAATTCACCCACTCTTCTCTATCTCTGTGACCACACCACCTCCACTGGCACCTGGAATGCCCTGGTGTGAATCCCCCAAGAGCCCACTCCTCCTGGCTGATGCAGTGCCACGCAGAGCACCCGGCCGGTGTTGGTGCTTTGTGCTGGCCACCCCACGTCACGCCCTGACAGCCGCTACCCGAGCTGCACCTGCCTCGGCTTCTGCTGGATCACCCGACTCTAGTCAGTCTCTCCTCTAAAGGGAGCACTCTCGACCTCAGACCCCATTTCGCTCTCAGGTGAGTCCCGTCCCTCTCTGCTCTTTCCCACTACTAATCTCATTAAAGGAGACCTCAAACACAACATATGCAAAACCAGACTCTTGATCTCTCCCCAAAACAGTATTCCATCGCAATTTGCCCCGTTTCCGTTAATGGCCACTTCATGCTTCCCGTTATTCCTGCCAACAGCACTGTCTCCCCTCTTCCTCCCGTATTACACGTACGCTCTGGCAGCAAATCTTCTCAGCTCTGTCTTCAAAATATACTCCGAATCTTGCTGCTTTTTCATCACCTCCCTTTCTACCCGCTGGACCGAGCCGCCATCATCTTTTGCCTGGATTAATTTGTACAAGCCTCCATGCTAACCTCTTTGCTTCTGCCTGTTCCCCTCCTTCTCCCATCCTGGCCCGGCCTCTGCCTGGCACATGCCCAGTCTCCTCTCCAGCTGGCAGTCAGAATGAGCCTCTGCTCGAACTGTCCAGTGGCTCCCTGTCTCACTCAGAGTAAAAATCAAAGTCTTCACAACGGTTCTCCAGGCCCTATGACCTTCCCCTATCATCTCTGACACAATCTCTTATTACTCCCCTCCTTGCTCACTCCTTACCAGTCCACACTGGCCTCCTTGCTCTTTCCCCAGAAGCCTCAGGGCCTTTGCACTTGCTGGTTCTTCTGTCTAGGGGGTTCCTTCTGCAGTTATCTACATGGCTTACCCCTTACCTCCTTTATGTCTTTGCTCAAATATCATCTTCTCCGTGATTATTTCTGTGACTTTCTCACTAAAAGTAGAATTTATCCACTCCTTTCCGTTGGCCAGGCCCTCCCTTTTCTGCCTTATTTTTACCTATGATAGTTCTTACCATATAACATACTACGCATTGTACTTAAATTGTTGATTGCCTGTCTTCTCCCACTCAAATGTAACTCCATGAGAGTAAGAATTTTTGTTTATATTTTGAATGACTTTATTCTCAATGTCTAGAATAATGCCTGATGCTTAGTAGGTGCTGTATAAATACTTGCTGAGTGAATGAATGATGGTCTCTCTGCCTCTGTGCTTTTGTCTTCTCCATGCTTTCTTTGCACAGAGATTGTTTCAAAATGCATAATGGATTATTTCACTGGTTCACGTAAAACTCTGCGAAGCCTTCCAGTCGCTCATAAGACGGAGACATTCTTAATATAGCTTATGATGCCCTGTCTGAGCTGAGTTCCGCCTGGTACTTTATTTCAGATCATGCCACTTACCCTCTCACTTTTTACATTCATGTTACCTTGGACTTCTCTGATTCCTAGAAAATACAATGCTTCTCCCTAACTCAGGACCTTTGAATATGCTGCTCCCTTTTCCTGAGCTGTGTCTCTTCCCACTCCTCAGTGTTTTACCCTATTTTTTCCCTTTACCCTAATAGCATTAAAAATAACCCATTGTTTGGGCGTGAAGGAGATAATTAGGCAGTTGTTTGAACAAGCAAGTTGATTGTCTTGAGTTCTTATTCTCCACTTTACTTCTGGTGCTCTGACCTTGTATAATCATTGCCAAGTTTCTTAAATATATAGCTAATTCATTCATCATTTATGTATTCATTTCTTTAGAACACATTAATTCAGTGACCATTCAAAGCCCTACCGAACCCAAATTTTCCAGGTCTGAAAGTGGGCTGTCTGGCTGGCTGTCAGTGTAGAGTCCACTTCTAACACAGCATCCCCGAGTCCCTAGTGTGGGCCAAGTTGTGCCTGATCTGGGGAAACAAAGAGAAGCAAGAGAGGGCTCTGCCTTTAAAGGATAGAGGTCAGAGGAACCGGTAATTATGCAAAAAACTGGACATTTTCTTTCCTACTGTCTCTTTGTCATTGGTCCCGTTAACGTTCCCCAGCTCATTAAAATCAGTATTAAGTTGTTGTCATTATTTTTTCTCTTTTCTGGCTTTCTTGGATTTTTTAAATATGATTTAAAATTTCTGAAACTGCTTCACTTAATGGCAACAGAAATGATTTGCTTTGAGAAAAAAGATGAGTTGAAACTTTAAATTTATATATAGTGAATATCTATAAACAGTAATGGCAATATTCTTGAATAATAAAATTTAAATGATATATTTATTCCTTTCAAATAATAGCACAAGAGAACCACTAAATGATGGTAGGGAGAATATTAATATTTTTCATTAAAATAAAATATTATTAAAATGGAGAGATACTTCACTTCTTGCATCTCATGTTCATCTCCCAAGTGAATTAAAGCAGTTATAAGGGACTGCTCTTTTATTGGCTGCAGCAAATAATGTGCTTAACAGATGTATTCCCTCCTGGTCATCATCATTATCATCAGCAAATACTTACAGAGCACCTATCACAGGCTGGGAGCTTTTCATCTCGCTGGGAAGACAGGGCATATTTATAACAAAGACAAATAACAATACAGTGCACTAAGTGCCAAACAAATGACATTGAAAATAAATGTAACAGGAGTTTAAAGAAAGGAGAAGTCATAGAAAGGAGGCGAGACTTGTTCTGGGTCCAGAATGGAAGGCAGGAATGAGGCCGGAGAGGAAGATGGAGATTTCCAGGTAAGGGAACATAGTGGGCAGGAACACAGTTATGCACGGAGTGCTTGGGGAATAGCGAATTCCTCGAAAATGAAAGTAGGGATACGTGGAGCTGAATCTGTGGCCAAATGCAGATTAAATCAGTGGACTCTGGATGAGAATAACCACTTACACTTATATGTCGTCTGTGTGTGTGTGCATATACATAGTGTACTGATTTACACCTATTAACTCATTTGATTTTCACAAAACCCCTAAGAGGTTTTGTGAAAATGTGTTTTCCTCATTTTACAAGTGAGGAAACTGAGGGATGGAATGGCTATGATTGCCCCAGATCACACAACCCACGGGTGCAGAAGCAGAATTCAAGCCCAGACGTTCTGGTTCTATACTCCAAGCTCTTACCCACGAGACTGGTGGGTCTCGACTGGACCTGCAGGATTTGGGATTTCTCCTGTCGTTACTGGGAAGGGGGCACCACTGATTGTATGATAAAGGATATTGTGTGCAATGAAGACCTGCTCTGTCTGTGGTGGGTAAGGTTAAGGTGGGAGTGACTGGAAGCAGAGAGATGGATTGGGACAGAACTTCCTGGTGGATCTGCTGAGGCACCCTGCTATCTGAGGAAGGGGTAGCAAGGTGCCAGGAGCACGGATCCCCTCAGATCCCAGCAGACCTGCTGGAGACACTGGGTTGGCGGCCTCGCAAACACAACCTCATCCATTTATCCATGTGCATTCAAATATAATCATTTCCTATTTGTGCCACGACATGGACAACGTCGGGAAGCACTGAATTAGAAGACGTTTGCCAGGACAGTAGAATGGGGAAGGAAAGAAAGGGACCCCCTTGAAGGACATGATGAGAATAGAATCCACAGGACTGGTCTGCCTGGATGGCACACAAGACGGGGAAGGAGGCAGCATTCATGAATGACACCAGACTTGTGAATTCAGGTGTCTGAGGAGGGCAGGACTGTCAGAACAAGAGGGTCTGGGGGCAGGGCTGGTTCTGGGGAATGCTGATAACAACACAGCTTCCAATATGTAAAGTTTGAGGGATGCCTGGGCACTTAGTTAAGACTTTTTATAGTGTTTGTTTTCCTGATGTTTTGGCATAATCCTTATTGATTTTTTTCTGAATGAATTCTTCAAATTTTTCTAACTTTAAATCTCAATTAATAAACAATGCAATATTTCCAGTGTGAAAAAGCCAAATTTTCATCAGCAGTTTGAGGATAGCCTTGCAAAAATTAGACAGAAACCAACTGCCTATGCTTTCCAAATGCACTGAGAGTGTTCTAGAGATCTCTACTGTATAGAGAGTGGTTGAGAACTCTGGGCCTAGAATCAGACATCTGGGCTGAGAAACCCTGGTTTTGCCATCGCCAGCTGAAGTGCAAGTCACTTAACCTGTCTACACTCCAGTCTTGTCATCTGTAGAAAGGTGATAAGAATGGTATCTACATCATAGAGTTCTGTGTTCATAGGAATTAATGCACGTGGAACACAGCACAGCTTCGAGCATCATTAAATGGCAGCCATTAATATGGAAACGATTAATCAAAACCCTTGCACACAACACTTGCCCACAAACACAAGCATGAGTGCTCATAGGGGCAGGTGTAGGCTGTGGGAATGTGAGTTACTGAGTACAGTTGGGCACTAAAGTTTAGTGTGGCAGTGACTTGAGGAGTGGACAATACAACATCTATTGGGGCATGTTCATTAAATTGTTGACAAGCTAAACATGAGACCATCCTCCCTCACACTGAGAGGCTGGGACATGTGTGTGGAGAACATCAGTGGATTAAAAATCTATTTAACCTGATCCAGGAGAAATAAACTTAGTTCATGAACTCCCAGAAAGCAGAGGTTATGTTCTTTTTCCTTCTGCTCCCTCACTTACTGATTTTACTTATTATCTTTTCTGATTCGAACAGTGACACTTACTCATTGCGAAAATTCGACGTGTAGAGAAGTATGTTACTCAGGAGAAGCAAATCAACAATCCAGAGACATGTTGTGTGCACACTATTACTTTTTCTTTTCTCTCCATATTTTTTACAGAGATAAGCTGATATTGGACAGTCAAGGCCGTATCTTACTTTTTTTGTTTTTTTTTGGTTTAACACTATATTACATAAAATTTTTTGTCCATACTCTTTTCTCCATTACTCTTCATAAATATTATTCTTAATGGATACATAATATTTCATAAAATGGTGACTCTCTCTTTTACTAACCATTTTACTAACGTTGACCTTCTAGGTTCTTCCTAATTCTTATTTTCATAAATAACACTCTGATGAACATCTTCATGCTGAATTTTTGTCTGATTTTTGGCTTATTTCTTTAGGAATAATTTCTGAAAGGGAAAATCCTAGGGAACATTCCCCCCCGCAATCCTTTTAACCAACAGTGCATTGCCCAGAGAAGAAGTTTAAGAATTTACTATTTTTCAACACTCAAGCTGAATTGGGTTAATGATAATTTTTGGCTCTCATAGAAGAAAATATTGATCTATAAGATGCTACAACATGGAATAATCATTGAAGAACAGGAAGATGTGTCAATGAGAGAGGCGGCCTCCACGTTTTCAGCCAGTACAATCTCTCTGGGAAATGAATGAGAGAGATTTGCTCTTTGATATACCCAAAATATTTTTATTTGTAAAAAAAAGCAATCTTCTTAAAACTTTAAAGGTCTTAGAACTCAAGTTTTCAGAGAGGAAATGGGGCCCTCAGTGTTTGGCATGTTTACATACCTCAGGACTGCTCAGACTTCTCTCCAAGGGCCCCAGCTCATCTGTATACTCTCACTAGGATGCCTAATTTAGTCACACTGTCTGACCCTCTCTGGCTTAATGCATATTTGGAGATCAAGATGGTCCCGTATGTCACAAGTGTAAATACACCTCTGTTTTAAGCACCCTTGTGCCGGCGATATATCTTATGAATGTAAAATTCTGAGAGGGTTTAGGAATGAAAACATCTCCGATTCTCTCTTTCTATTGAAAGTTCCTATGTTCTGTAGGAACTTACAGATACGTTACCATAAATCGGGATAATTCATTGATTTATATTAAATTAATTTTACTACTTCAAAGCTCATCTCTGTTTAGTATAGCAGTAGTGAATGTATTTATTTGATAGGAACAAAAATCATCATAATACATAGGAAACCATCTCATATTCATGTAATATGTTTCTTGTAGAGAACTCGACATGCCTTGGTGACATTACTGCTATAACACATTGCTATAAAGCCTCAACTGACAATTGCTTTCCTGGCTCTCATATAGAGAAATGAGGTTCAAAGACTTAGATAACTTGCTTAATGTCCTGTGGGGAATAAAGGATAAGCCCAAACAATCCAGACTCTTACTAGAACATTCTGTCCACCCAACATTAAATGGCAGCAGGCTAGGTATCCTTGTCCTTACCGGTGGGTTTGACGAGAACCGCCAAGAAGTCGGTGGTGAGAGAACTGACGTAGAGGAGAACGCAGGGCGCCTTGCTGGTGCTGAAACTGAAACGGATCTCCTCGTGGGCCAGGTCCGGCGACGAGTTCTGCTGATCGGGGGAGCTCTCCGATCTACTGCCCGATTCTTTGGCACTGACCCCGGATGCCTGGAAGTTATACCGTAGCCACATCCCCTCTTCGAAATATGCGCCAACATCTGTTGAAAAGAAAAGGAAAGAGAAAATTGAAAAACGAGGAGAAGTCTGATACTGATACCACCAACAATTGAAACTTGGGTAGACTGTTCGTGTTGTCATGGCTGGAGGAAGGCGTACTCTTCCTCCAGGAAGGGAATCAGACAGGGTAAAGTTCTATGCAGATGTATGTTACTTCATTATCATGAATACTCTGTCAAAGAAATTTTAAAAAGCATGTAACAGTATGGTGATCTATAAACTTAAAATATAACAGTAAAATTAAGGAGTGTAAATCAGAACAGAAAAAATTTCATGTTTAGTACTCAGACCAAATAACTAATTTAGGCTGAAAAGAAACACTGAAAATAAAGGCAGTGTTATAACATCAACAAGCAATGCCAGGAGCTCATGGGCGTCCTCTCTGAGATTGTTTTTGCTTTGGACACTCACACAGGAAAGCCCTTGACAAAACCCTGACTACGTCCTGGGAGGCTTTGGGTTTAGCGTCTAAAATCACGAGATGTGAAGTTAGAGAGAAGTGAGTTCCAATTTGGCGCTGCCATTAATTAGTTATGGTGCCTTAGGGGAAGTTGCTTAACCAGCTTCTCTAGGTCTCAGTATTTTATATGTGAAAGGGAGATAATAGCGAGAATTACAAAAGATAATTAGAAGTAATTAGCACATAATAAATAATACCTATTGTTTTTATTATTGTTAAGAAATTACAAGAAAGGTCACTAACCCGTCATCAATCTTTTCCTGAAGCCTAACCAGGGCTAATTGGTTTTTAATCATTTCCTGGCAGACAAGCTCCTGCTGTGGTTTTCCCATTGTTTGCTCCCCATGTCCTAAAATCACCTCCTGACTCCTAGGAAAGGCTGAGGCACCCTGTCAAGATGTGTTAGTTGGTTACAGGATTGGTTACTGCCTCATTGTCCTCTGTGAGTGCCCTTCTGAAAGCATTTCTCAAACATCTTTGCCCAGGGAACCCATTCTTCTCATAAGACTTGACATCTCTCTAAATTAACACTACACGGAATGTATTTTGTGAAACACTGCTCTACATTATCATTAACAGGAGAGGACAAATTTTAAAAGGATTCTTTCATCTGGGGGTTTTGAAGTTTTCTCTTGTTAAAGAAGTCTAGCAGAGTCAGCACAGAGTAGCAATTCAGGATTGGGAGCCAGACACCTGCGGGTGAGCCTTGGCCTTGCCATTTACCAACTGTGTTAACTTCGTCATGGCTTAAAACTCGCTAAGCCTCAGTTTCCTTCTCTGAAAAACAGAGCCTTGTAGGTTGTTGTGAGGATTAAATAACTCATGTATAACACTTAGCTTAGTGCCTGGAACATACGATAAGTGTTCAATAAAGATTAGTTATATTACAAAGATATGCTTCCATTTTCTATTGAGGGCCACAGATGCCACCCCCTACCCCCACCTCACACCATCACACACACACAGTACTCTGGTAAGTCACCCTGGCATTGTTACAGAGCCCACAGTAGTCTGCTTCTCACTGAGTTGTGGTGAAGTTCAGTGAACTACAGGCTCTCAAGTATGGGCAGTTCTAGTCTCCTCCTGGTTCTCCCACCCCAAGGACTTTGGCAAATGTGTGTGTGAGTGTGTGTGTGTGTATGGGGGGATGCTGTCCAAATTATGGGAGGTACTATTGGCATTTAGAGGGCAAGGGTAGGACTGCTGAATGTCCTGCAATGTGTGGACTATCTTATGCAATTAAGAATTTTCTTACTCAAAATGCCAAAAGTGTCCTTTTTGGGAAACAGGGTTAAACAAATACTTAATCCACGCTAGTCACTGAATGACTTACTGGAATGTCAAGATGCATAAAACATGTCACCGCCCTTGAAGAGCTTTCCGTCCAGCAGTGAGTGTGGGAGGAGACACATCAACAGTTTGAATCCAGTATGGTGGGTGTTAGGGTGGTTTATGCTGCAGGCTGTGTGATAAGAACCCCCATGTCACTGTCTGGAAGATCCTGAGTTGGCTTTTCCACTCTTTGTGTGAACACCTATTGCTGCCAGCTCTGTGCCAGGCACTATGCTGGGTGCTGAGGTTACAATCCTTGCTCTCAAGGAGCTCTTGACTAAGAGGAGGATTTAGAACAGCCATCGTTAGAAGGCAGTGTCGTAAGTACAGGATCAGGCATATACAGAGAGGAACCTGGCATACCAGGGGAGCCAGCCCTGTCTCCAGGGCCCCTGTTACACTTCCTGGGCAAAAAGACATGGAAGCCGGGACCCAAAGAGCCAGAGGCGGGTCGCTCTGTAAAGGTGGAGAGGAAGAGCAGCTTTCTAGCTGAGGGAGCAGCGTGCAAAAGCACTCGGAGGGGAGGCAGTCTGCAATCTGAGGCATCCTGCCACCCCGGTGAAATTCATCCACTCCTTTTACAATATCAGTCGTTCATGCAAGACTCATTAGGCTCCCACTACAGTTCAGGCTGTGTGCTGGGAAAACAGTGAATGGGACAGAGGTGATCCTGGCCCTCAGCAGTTCAGAGCCTAGTGGGGTAGATGGACATTTCCCAGGATGGGCTGCTGTGAAAGCATCTAACAGATGGTGGGGACGAGTCAGGGAGAGCAACAGGGCAGGCCACCTGGAGCCAACACACCAAGGGGTTCACTTTGCCAGCAGAGAGGTCCTACCAGGTTTGGGTCCTGCAGGAGAGAAGAGGTAGACCTGGAGAGAGGGTGGGGGGAGGCTAGAGATCAAATCCAGAGGGTTCAAACAAGCCAGAGGGGAGCGAACAGGGCCAATGTATAGGAAGAGGTAAATGTATCAGGCACTTGAAACTCAAGATTGAGGAGCCAAGAACCTAGGGAGGGCAGCAGAGGCTGAGAAAGCAGGTAAAGCCACGGAGGCCACAGGCACCTGAGTTACAGACGCAGCGCATGGATGGCATGGACCTTCGCTTCCCCGTGCCAGGCTCTCTCCAGTTATCCCACGCCCAGAGAGCGGGTGGCACTCAGCCCCTCACCACAGTTCTCAGAGCACTTGCCTGGGAGCCCGTTCAAATGCTGGCCCCCAGGCTCAGCCCCAGAATTTAGCTCAGACGGTCTGACTCAGAAGGTCTTTAGAGTCAGCACGGGTTACAGGCTCCCCAGGAGATGCTCACGCACACACGAGCTTGAGATCCTCAGAGCCGAGGCTGGGGCAGGAGGGTGTCCCTGGTGGAGCAGGTAGCTGAGCGGCCCTGCCAGGGGGAGACGTTACTCATTTCTCAGCTAAACTGGTGACGATCATCCCAAGGCAGATCATGAAGGGAAATTCAGAAAGCTAAGGATTTTAGATAAACAAACAAAAATATGCCACAGAGAATACTTTTGGTGTATTTTAAGGGTTATCGTTAAAAAGCTTTATGGGGATTATGTCAGTTTTGGAGGAAGGGATATACCATGCTGAAAAGTGTTATTCTGAAACCCCACATCATAAACCAACTCTTAAACCAGTGCCTGGGAGTGCTGTGAACCATTTCAGGTTCGAAGTGGCAGATTTACAGCTGTCATTTCATTGTCACAGGTCATTGTAAGGAAATGCCAAATCAGGGCACTATAATACCATTTAGGAAAGTAATCCTCCCATCCCTTCTGAATGAATACCTAAAATAACACTAATTTAACAAGCCCCAAATAACATCTTTTCTCTCATTAAATGATCAAAAAGTATTGATTTAGAATGCTTGATTTATGGTTTTTATACTAATATGAGATAGGTTAAGTTTTATGATATTCATTTTTTGGGTAGAAAAAATGATAAATTTTGGGTCTAGTTATTCCAAGATGTATTTTGAAAGAGATTTCTTGAATTATATCATGTTTCTTAAAATTTTGAAATATATTAGGCCATCTGTAGACTTAGGGTTGTAAAGGTGACAGGAACCTTGAAGCAGACAAGGAATCTTGTCTTAACCATTTCTTGGTCCTCAAAGTGGGTCATATGTAAATTACACCTAATTGAGGAAAAAAAGTTTGCAAACGTTTGGAATAAATTCCACAAACCATCCGTCCCAGAATAATATCATAAAGATATTCTTCCCCTTGTCTAACCAAATCCCTGATGCTTACAGGAGAAAAACAAACAGCTGACACTCACCCCGTTATTAAATTGCTCCTCCAAGTTCAATAATTCTATTCCTTTTGACTTTTCACTTAGGATGTATTTTGCAACCTATATTTTAAAAATCAACATGATTCTTTTTGATTCTAACTTCCCCATGAGGACCCAGAATTGAAAAGTCCACAACTTACAAATGAGCTCTTTTCCAAAAGTTTATTTTAAAGTCAGTAACTTGCAACTTGGAAATATTTCCCCATAGAAACAATGCTTTAAATGATGGTTAGTTTGCCAGGAGAGTCCACAAATGCTGAATCACTCTGGATGGGTAATAAAAGATAATTGAAGAGTGCCACTGTGTATTAGTAATTAAAACAGAAACAACAACAACAACAACAAAATGTTAAGGTTTACTTTGAATGCGATAACTCTAGGGAACTCTGTTCCCACAAGAATTTCATCTAAATTATCCAGTAGCATGCCGGTAAATGTTAAACAACTGGCTCTCCAGGGTGAAAAACCCTGATTTGTAGTGTTTGCCTATTCCCATGGTGTAAATACTCCCATCTTGGCTGATTTCAGGCTGCCAACACAGCATCACTAAATATCCAGTTGAGAAGAGATGTTCACATCTGGTCTCCCAGCCGGTGTGAACTGCCTCTAGCACATGATCTTCTTCCACTCACTCAATCACTGACCCAGTCATTCAAGCAAACCACATTTATTGAGCCCCCATTGTGGCCAGTGTCTTAGTCAGCTCAGGCTGCTATAAAAAATTACCATAACTGGGTGGCTTAAACAATGGAAATGTATTTCTCACAGTTCTGGAGGCTGTAAGTCCAAGATCAAGGTGCCAGCCAAGTCAGCTCCTGGTGAGGGCTCTCTTCCTGGCTTGCAAAGAGCCATCTTCCAATCCCATCATGAGGGCCCCATACTCATGACCTC